TAATTTTATTATTTGAAATCAATTCTCATCCAAATTCCTTATATACATCATTTTCAAATCTAGTTGCATGCAAACTCAATTGAGAATTTCAACTTTAAATATTGTTGAAATTCTCATTACTTCACTACAGAAAATAAAGAGGGCCATGGTAGAGAGAGAGTGAGACGAAAAAGTAGAGAAAAATAGAAGATCTTTTACGTGCAAGATTTTATTCTTTCTAACCTTTTAAAAATCAAGATAAGATACTTTCCTGCAAATGGTTCGTTTTCTTATGTTTTTATATTTAGTAATTTATGCATGCATTGCCAGTGGACCTTTGGGTTCTTTATTAAAAGATATGAGATTCTACGAGAATTTAAGACAACCTAAAATGGGTGTATCGATTGGTCACCAATATACTCCATAAGAGAAGAGTGGTATGAAGTGTTTATTTTATTGTTATATATTGTGTATGGAAACTGCACATATCTTAAAGGGTATTTTTTTTAAATACTCACTCTTACAAAATTTTACAGGTTACTTCAGGTCGATTGAGACTGTGGTGGGATGGTGATGTAGACTGTCGGAAGAATTGAAGAAATAAAAACATTAAGTTTTTTTCCTTAAATTAATTAGTTAGTTTTTATTGTTCAAATGCACGTTATTTAATTAGTGATTATGTTATTTTCTTAACGATACAATTTTCATATTTAGTTTAAATTTATGGATATTCTAGTTATATTTTTTATTAAAGAATAATATTTTATCTTTCCTCTTTTGATACAAAGAAAAATGAATTTTTGGTAACACTTCAAGGTTTCTGAAATTTTGGAGTGTTACATAATCTATGAAGCTTTCATGCATCATCCACGTACTATGGGGACCCTCATCGTCTCAGTGATCCTCTTCGAGGGAATTAGGGGAGACAAACCCGCTTCGGGGCATATCATTGCCATATCAGGGTTCCTAGAAGACCCCTCCCCCCCTTGGTATTTGGTTTCGAAGAAAAGGTAATCTAATGAATATTTTAGTTCAAGAATTATAGAGAAGAGGTCTGCAACTTACATAAATGTCAAATTGATCAAAGAAATTGGAAGCATGTTCGAATGCCTAGAAAAAGTTTCAAGAATGCCAAAGAAACACAAAGTATGTTCTCTTGCTTCAAAGGTTTTGGCGAAGTAGAAAAAGCGTTACAATTGGCAAATGCATCATTTTATAAGCAGTCAAGACAAGGCTCAATCGTTGGATGAACAATCCTTTAATCCGAAACGTACATTTTTACACATCATTTAAACTATTGAATCCAATAGGCACCCATTTTAATAATAAAATAAATGATTATGATCAAATCATGCTAAGTATACGCATGTAATTTGCGTTGCCTCAATACTTGTATTGATAAACACAAGACTACCTTGATGCCTTATCTTGGAAACATGAGAGGTTTTTAAATCATTGCATTACACATTCCAACAATGTCCTATCATAACTACGCTTCGCCTCTACTAAATTTAACCTTATCAAAGGCTTCAACTACATCTAAAGGTTCGCCCTTCTAGTAAAGGCCTTGCCTTATGCAATTAAGCATTATCAAAGGCTTCAACTACATCAACAAACTCAATCTTCTAGCAAGAGCCTCGCCTTACTGTATTTCAGCCCTTAAAACATATTGTCGTAACTGCTCACATGCCATGATAGTCCAGCTCATTTACACCTCAACACAAAAGTCCACACATTAAATGAATATCCATACTTGGACTCAGGGACAGAGATATACTACAATATTCATCGAACATTTTTTCTTTACAAAACCATACATCTCGCTCCAACAACCTCAACACAAAAGTCCATGCATTATATGAATATTTATACTTGGACTTCGGGGACTATAGTTATGCCTGACGATGAGACCCCAGAATATCCTACATGGCACCACGACCTAGGCTTACACTTCACGTTATTCCGTTAGGAGGTAGCTTGTCGAACACCATGAAGAGACCAAACCATATGGAAAGCCGAAACCATTTGGCAAGAGTAGACCCCTTGTATAGAACCCATTTGGCTGGAGTTGAAACCTATGGAAAGGCTATAAGGGGACCAATAGGTGATCTTTTATGCAATCCATAATAAGTGATTTATGGGACAATTCACTGTTGTGGCCCTATTACCCAGCCAATTAAGTCAAGTCTAGGCCTTTTGTCAGAGTTATGGGTAAGAAAATGGTATTAGCATTTAATGATTATGATTTATTGACGCCATTGACAAGACGCCTCAACCTTGTGGATGAGGCCACATATATCTTCATCACATGGCCATTATTCATCATAATCTGCTATAAAAGCTTACATAATGTAGCATTTCAATGGTAATACAAGTTTAAACTCTCAAACCACAACTTCGCAATCTCTACTGTTATTATCATAGCTTTCCCCAAAGCTGGCCCCATTTTTATATTGAAAGCTCACGTCTAAAGCACCTCTGACACCCATACCACTACTTCAACTGACTTGAACGTTGAAGTGCACTCGACCAGCACTAACACCATAGGAGGAAGCCACGTGTGGCTAACAGTTTGTCCAAGTATACATGAATCAAACTTACGTGGACGCAGGAAGCCTTAGGATTTATTCACATATTGGAGGTACAAAAGTCAGGGTCAACAAGAACCATAATTTAATGTTTTGAGGATATTGTTAGGATGACTCGTAAAGAAAATAGTGGTTTTCAGATCTTAAACTTGAGATTGGGCCGTAAATGCCAAAAGTGTAAAGTTTAGGGACTAGATTGCAAATGATGAGATATATTTTCAGAAGAGAATGTGAAGAGTCAAGATTACTTTGTGATGAGAATAATCACCAGATGGCAATGATTATGATTAATTTGGGCACTTTTTTATACTTGAGGGACTAAAGTGAAAATGAATTCGAGATCAATAGTTTATTTGAGTGTGTAATAATTGGAGGAAGGAATATTACCCTATCAACGATCTATTGAAATCATGGTCATGCGCATGCAGGGGCGGAGCCAGCCCTTCAAACTAACGGGGTCCCGGAGTTGAAGGGGCGGGGGCCATGTGGGTTGCCCCCGAAATTTTTTTTTGAAACATTATCTATTAAAATGAGAAAAGTTGGTACTTTGTGATGGAAAAAAAAAAAAAAGAAGAAGTTAATTTGAATAACATAAATTCGGATTATAGCTCATTAAAGGAAACTGTGGTTAATTGAAATATTAGCCATCGTATTACCTTTGGTTATTTGTCTTTCATTTACGCACGAGGAATTCTCTTCAAGTTCTTGATTGTCCCAAAAGTCTAGTGCCGAACTTCCTGCATAAAAGGGTGACTAATATGACTTGATAGCTTTGGGTGGTTTATCCATTCTTAATAATGGTTCTTTTCATTTTAACATTTAAATAAATAAAGTTCATCAAAAGCATGGGTCGGTCCGCCTGACTGAAACCAACAAGATCCATAACGAGCTTTAAACTTTGGCTTGATGGAGGGTCAACTAGGTTTTTACATATTTTCTTTCATCACGGTCTTCAATCTAACATATGAAACATATCCTCAATGTTTATTACTTTAAGTCGATTACTAAAAAAATTTGACCTAAGCAAAATGGCTTGTAACGAAAATTAGACGAACATACTAGTTGTTAGATATTTTATGTAATTGGCTATTTTGTGAACAAAAATGACTAAAATTGACATGTTGTAAAAAGTCAAGGAGTAGTGTGCAAATAGTATAAATTGTGATATTTTAGGTCTAAGGTTCAAGAATGGGAAAGAAGGAAAAACGGCGTGGAATTTTACTAGCTTTTTGCCAAGGTTTAGCTCAAGCGTCAGAAACAGAAATTTCGTCGCTAGACTATCTCTAGCCCTTCGCTCAAGTGATAGTGTTATTAAGAAAATTTTTATTTCGTTTTTTAAAGGTTTTTTGTCCGGCCCATTCATTCCCTAACCTACGTATAAATAGTCAAACTCCACAGAACGTGAATTGTGAGGTTGAACATTGAGAAAAACATATTCCTTTGAGATCACCTTCACATAATTGCTTTCAACCTTCATTCTTGATTTGGCTTTTTAGCGGAAAAAATATCAGATTCATAATCCAAATACCAAACTGTTGCTTCCTTCATATCGGTCAAAGTTTCTGAAGATCGAGAGAAGGTAACTGAAGTTCCATTCGTTGAAGAACGCGGTGTTTTTCATGAATCCACATGAGATAAACGATTTCACAAAATTAGGAGTTGCTGCATGAGAACACGATCCAGGAAAGCTTTAAAAACTGCAGTTGGGAGTGGTGCATGAGCACAAAATCCAAGAGAGCTGTTGAAATTGTAGTCAGGAGATCAAATAGTACGTGTCGTCGTCTACTCTGATAGACTGTAAGTTATAAATCGTTTATAATAGATTGTTGACCGGCAAAGTACCCGAAATTTTTACTCAGTTGGGGTTTCTCTGTGATCATACTGTGCATTATTTATTGTTTTATTTACTATTATTATATTTTGCTGTATTCAAACATAGGATAATCGGATTATATGCTTAATCATTTAGAGATAATTAATTAGTGACTTGTTGCCATGAATTATAAATTTTTAATTTCGCAATTACACCTATTCACCCCCCTCTAGGTGTAGTTTGGGTCGAACTACGTATTTTCACAAGTAATAAATTCATCAGCTTGAAAGATATTTAGCAGCTTCGATGTATTCGGGTAATTGAATTAAAAACAAAAAAAACAAAAAAGTGTGTTTACCACTTATAACTAATTCTCCTTAAATACCGTAAGATCTTTGAACGAGCAAAATTTCTCCTAAAATAATGTTACATCATTGAACATAGAATTTTAAGGATAACCCCTACTTTCATAGAAAATCCCTAAGACTTGGTAACATATGAGAAAAAGGGAACAACTTGGACGAGTAAAGAAATTGCTGGCTGCATGTACACACAAAAAATACTACACCTTATTGTCCATTTTGCAATCCATATTTTCACCTTTCAAGAAGCCTAAAACCATGTCGAAATTCGACCCTTATGAACACCTCAATATCTCTCTCAATCCCGATGGTTCACTCACTCGCTTCATCAAGCTTCCGACCTCCCCCGCGACTGGAGACTCAAGCCAAATCCCAGGCCAAGCAGTGGTCAGCAAGGATCTTATCCTAAATGCTGAAAAGAAAACTTGGATGAGAATTTATCGTCCAACAAAATTACCTTCCAATGACAATTCCATTGCCAGGCTTCCCATAATAATTTTCTTCCATTGTGGTGGTTGGATTACAATGAGTATTGCCGATACCATTATCCACGAACAGAGCAACAGAATCTCCAGCGAAGTTCAGGCGATAGTGGTGGCAGTGGAATTTCGGCTGGCTCCGGAAAGCCGGCTCCCGGCTCAGTACGAAGATGCGACTGATTGCATCTTTTGGATTCAAAAACAAGCTCTGAATGCCAATGGTGAGCAGTGGCTAAGAGATTATGGAGATTTTTCCAGATGCTACCTTTATGGAGTCAGTTGTGGTGCAAATATTGCATTCAATGCTGCACAAAAAATGCTCGATCACAAACTGGAACCCCTAACCATTGCTGGGATCATATTAAACCAGCCATTTTTTGGAGGAAAAAATAGAACAAAATCAGAACTAAAACTTGCTACTGATCAGTATTTTCCTTTGCCGGTTCAAGATCTTCTGTGGGAACTGGCATTGCCACGAGGAACCGACAGAGATCATAGATTTTGCAACCCTTTTATTGATGGACCAATCAAGGAGAAAATCAAACATTTGGGGAGGTGTTTAGTGATTGGATTTGGGGGAGACCCTTTGATTGATAGACAACAAGATTTTGTGCAAATGTTGGTACAGCAAGGGGTGTTAGTCGAAGCAAGATTTGATGATGTTGGATTCCATGGAATTCATTTGATCGATACTCGAAGGGCTTCGGCTATTTTAAATTTTATCAAGGAGTTCGTTTGATCAACTTTTAGTTGAGGGATCTTCAATAATCAGTTCCCGACATACTACGAATATTTTATTCTATATTTTCATGGATTAATTTTAAAATTTTATATATTAAATCTTGTTCGTCAAGTGTCTGGAGATACAATTTAATCACTATTTTCGGTTAACTGATGAGTCTTTAGACAATAAATTTTCATTCTAGAAAGCATTAGACCCTTTAATTTCTTTACATGCTGTCTGGATTTCTAGTGCAATTTCTATTTGTTACAGCCACAATATCAATCTAAGAAACAATAAAAAGCATTTTATGAACTGAAATTTGGCTTTGGCCCAGAAAAGGTAAAAATATGACCCTTGTAGTCGAATTTAATTTCTGCCATCAATGCACATCGCCAACTTGAGACAACTTTAGTTAAAACCGGCTCACACATTCCATTTTCTACTATATAATTCCAAATTCTTTGGGACTACCATGTCCACAATCTTGAAGACCCCCATCTTTACGACTTTAATGGTAGGATTCAAACCTCTCTAGATGTTTTATCACGCTTCAATAGATAAATCACGCAAACTAAGCTCCATCTTATTGCATTTTGTGGGTTCTTACATTTTGTTGGGAAAATAGACTAATTAATTCACAACACAATAATTCTTTTCCCATTTTGTGTAAATAAAATAAGATAATCAACCAATTGTAACAAAGTTAATAATAAAATAAATAAACTGCTAGAACACCAATTTAAAGTGGTTCGGCAACTTTCCTACATCTATTGGTGCAACTCTGATTAAATAATCAACTACTAAGAGATGACAAATTTTCGAGATAAAACTAGAACATCACAATATTCTCAAGAATTTAATAATTATTGGTTCACCAAATATTCATCATAAAGGGAATTATAATGACCTAACCAAAGAAAAAACGAACTGAGAAAGAAGATTGCAGGATTTCAGAGCACATTGTTGACAGTCAGGTGATTCATTTGGAGGTGGTGGATTATGAGAAGATTGTTGACAGTCAGATGATTTATTTGGAGGTGGTGCATTCTGAGAAGTCAGCGCATTGCTCCAGGAAAATTCGGATGGTTCCTCCATCCTCGATTTTAAGTGTTGGAGAACGTGTTGTTTTATGCATCTGAAAGTTCTGCACATAGTTTGCTTCATCTGTTGTTTGAACAAAAGGGCTTCCCACATTGCAGTCCACACTAGTATAATTTTCACCACCATTGTCACATTTCGGTCCTGACACTTGAATTCTATTGGCTAACGGCTTCACAGTGATACATACCACCAACTTTCCTGGTCAGTGATGCAAGCTGAGTAAAAATGGTTGTTAGTATTGTTGGAACGCGGAAGTGGAATCAACGAGAAATTAAAAAATTCTTTAATTCAATAAACAAGACCGCCTAATTGTTCACGTATATGTTATACCAAGAATTAGGAATTCGAATTTTTTACTTAAATTCGTCTAGTTGTTCACATATATGTTTTTTGATCAATTCCAGCTTTTAATTGCAAGAACTTGATGCTTCAAACCTCCAATTCTTTTATGGTATTCTCCTAAGTCAAGACTAAATTGGCGGGTGGACACCTTCTTTTAATTAAGTCAAGAAACTAATTATTGGATTGGACAATAAGAAAACATAATTTTTCTCACTTTTTCTCTTACTCCAAATTTGAACACTATGAAATTATGTATTATGATTGTTATAGGATTTTTATGTCCGACTAATCTCTATTAATAGAGATAAAGATGTTCAAATCCATGTAAAATAATAATTTCAATATCAAATAGGAGTCTTAGTTAAAATCCAAATAATAGTTTTAATTAAAGTCCAAATCCAATTAGTTTACATTTAATTATATGTATAGTCCTAGAACTTCAATTACATTATAATTAAGTTACAACTTTTATAGTAATTACAAGCAAGTACAAAACTTTATTGTAATTACAATTAAGTCTAAAACTATTATAATTATCGTAAGTAAGTTCAAATACTTTATAAAGCTACCATAGGAACCTGGTCGGACATATATTATCTAAGCTCCAATAATTAGATCATGTCTAGACTACCTTAAACCACTCAATTTCATTATTTGTCTTTGTTTTTTCCACTAAAGACAAAAGACTGAATTCTGAGAATATATAAGATGACATAAGCTAATAAATCTGTAATATTTTCCTGACTTGCCATATATGTATTTTATCCCCATTCGAACTTCGGTAATTAGGTACAAGTATAAATGATCGTTTTTATCAACGGTCTCGTGAACAAATCAGATGTAGAAATTTAGTCGTCGCTAAATATTGAGTTCAAATTTTAACCATTTAACATAAAATATTTAAGTAGTCACTCTACCTATTTTTAAGGTGACGGTTCTCGACACAAATTCATGTTTTCTACTTCGCTCATTCTCAATTTTCAACTCATCAAGATATTTGACCAATCAAATTGATCTCATTCAATGATGAATCAAAGAACCGTTAAAACCATGAAAAGATATACATGACTCTGTCAAAGGATTTAGATGAAATACACAGCGGTCAAGTGAAATTTAATTCTCTGCATGGTCATGCTATAGAATTAAACTCGACAAGTGATCTGTTCAATACACTCCAAAAGTATTAGTGTCATCTTTAACTATTTCTATGATAAGAACAAATCACAAACCCGAATAGTGAATCAGACAACACTACAACCTTTCGGTACAAGGTGCCAACCCTTATACATTGGTAGTGAACAAATTATTTATAATCAAAATATAAATTGTGTTACACTGTACTTCTCAATGCAAGCACTCAACTTATATCATCTTAAATGATCATATGCACTTTAATTCGCATGCTCAATAATAAATAAATGTAATAAATAAAATAAAAATAATTTTATTTAATATAAAAATAAACTATACTATATGGGCACACAACCCAACAAATCTCCCACTTGCCCTAGAGTATATGTGTCGTGTCTTTTAGCCCCATGCTTTGCAAATGTCCATTGAAAACATTAGTTGACAGACTTTTGGTAAATGGGTCTGCAAGGTTATCTCCAGTAGCAATTTTACTGACAATCACATCTCAGCTACTAATCGTGTCTCTCAAAAGATGATATTTATGTTCGATATGGTTACCTCTCTAATGATTCCTTAGTTTTTTAACATTTGTCACTGCCCCATTATTATCACAATATAATGTTATGGGCTGTGCAGATGCAGGCGCCACATCGATATCCATTAGGAATTTTTTTGAGCCACAGAAGTTGGGACATATTCTCATAGTGAAATTAACAATACATGATTGTTTGGTACTTCTCCAAATAATGGCCCCACTATCAAGTGTAAACAGTGATCCTGATGTAGACTTACGAGAGTCCTTATCAGCCGGGAAGTCCAAATTTGTATAAACCATAGGAGCAAGATCTGGTGATGAGTAAACTAGCAAATAATTTCTAGTCCTCCGAAGGTATTTAAGAATATGGTTACAACCACCCAATGTTTCGATCCAAGATTAGATTGATATCAACTCAACATACCAACAACATAACAAATATCAGGTCTAGTACACAGCATAGCATACATGAGACTACCAACTGTCGATGCATAACAAATATCAGGTCTAGTCCACAGCATAGCATACATGAGACTACCAACTATCGATGCATAATGTATCATACTCATACGCTCCATCTCATTAGGAGTCTTAGGGGACTAATCCTTAGAGAGTTGGATTCCATGTNATACATGAGACTACCAACTATCGATGCATAATGTATCATACTCATACGCTCCATCTCATTAGGAGTCTTAGGGGACTAATCCTTAGAGAGTTGGATTCCATGTCTGAATGGAAAATTACACTTCTTGGAATCTTACATGGCAAATTGGAGAAGTATTTTGTCAATATATGAAGTTTGAGATAAAGCTATCTGCCTATTCTTTCGATCTCTTAAGATCTGAATGCCTAGAACATAGCTAGCTTAACCTAATTCCTTCGTATGAAACTGTTGGGCCAACCATGCTTTCACAGATGATAACGCTCCCACATCATTTCCAATGAGTAGAATATCATCCACATAAAGCACCAGAAAAATTATAATTTTGTCTTATATCTTCTTATAGATACAGGGTTCCTCAAAGTTCTGATCAAAACTATATATCTTAATCACTTTGTTGAATCTTTTGTTCTAAGATCATGATGGCTGCTTCAACCCATAAATGGACTGCTGAAGTTTGCAAACTTTATTTTAATGACCACTTTCTATGATTCCATCTGGTTATATCATATAGATAAATTCCTAAAGATGGCCATTCAAAAATATCATCTTGACATTCATTTTCCACACCTCATAATCAAAATGAGTTGCAATGAATAAGAGAATCTTGATAGACTTAAGCATAGCAACAGATGAGAAGGTCTCCTCGTAATCGACACCTTCTCCTTTGATAAAATCCTTAGCCAATAGCTTACTTTGAAAGTTTATATTTTCTCGTCTACTCCCCTCTTTCTCTTATAGACCCATTTGCATCCAATGGATTTTATCCCTTCTAGTGTATCTACAAGTTCCCAGACCTGATTGGAATGCATAGATTCCGTTTCAGTATTCATAGCTTGTTGCCATAAATCTGCATCCACATCATTCATAGCCTTCTTATACAAAGTTGGATCATCAAATTTTATTGTGGAGATCACTTGATTTGACTCTCTTATTAACAAGTATCTAGAAGATGGTCTGATGGCCTTCTGACTTTGTCTGAGGGGGCGGTGGATCCAGGACCTTGGCATCGTTTGGAATCATAACATTTGTATCAATGTTAGTACCACCATTAGGTAATGCCATTACCACCTCAATACCTTCAACGTTTACTTGATCTATGGGATTAGATGATGACTCGACTCTCCCACTCAAAGCACATTGTTTAGGTATTTTTGACACCAAAGGTTGTCCTTCACAAGGTTGTGTTTCAAGAATCGATGAGGTGGACTTGCTCCTATTCATTTCTCTGAACACGACCTT